CCCCCGCCTTTATTTGGACAAAAGATGTGAGTTTTTGTCATTTTCTTGGTGCTATTGCCAAAGCCCTGTGATCTGAATAATGAAAGGAAAATAATTGCCTACTGCTTCTGAAAGACAGTAATATTCAAGTTTTTGCTGTAAAATCTGGAATAGAAAAAAATTAAATATTGTCAGGTTGCTTCTTTGTGTAATATAACCACAATACATTAAGCAGTTGTACTCTACATTAGTGGGTGACATTCTTTGTAATGGTACAGCTTAACTGAAGTGTAGCTCTTATGTTTCATATAGAGTTTAAGATATAGTTATGGTCAGTGTTATTTAAGGGTGGGAGTTAAATGGTATTTCAGAAGTAATGTGACTTAATTACATTAGGCCTTTTGTATATGCCCAAGAATTATATCTGCTGAGTAAACACTTCAGGCCTGCTGAAATAAAATTTGAAAACAAAATAAATACTAGCATCTAGGCAAAATTCCTGCATTTCAACTGCTGAAAATCTGCCCTGTCATTACTAGCTTAATCTGACTGCTTTATTACTGTACATAAACATAATGCATTTATAATACATTGATTGAAGAAGGTATAAAACATATGTACTTTGGTACAACAAGAGCTTTGTTTTATCCAAATATATATAAAAAATATAAATGGTGAAATATATTCATAATATGACAGTTCCTAAGGTCTTTTGTCATGGGTAAATTTGTCATGTGACTAATTAAATTTGTGAAACATGTTTATATCAGTGGGAAGGTGAAAAAAGTTTCTGGAAGTATTTTTACATTAATATGTTCTTTGTTTGCCTGATAATTTACATTTGATGAGGATGTATAGCATTACTAGAAATTATTTGCATGCATAAGCTAGCATTTTACTTGGAGGCATAAGAGTTGACGAATTTCACTGTGTAGAAAGGATAAATAAAAGATTTTTGTAATGTTCTGTTGATGGATGAGAATTGTAATTTATTCTGAACTTTGGTGTTGGATCATCTCTTTGTATTGCTTCTGACAGTTCTTATACTCTTCTTTTACAGTTTATAAGGAGTTCTTAAAAAAAATATATCACTAATTTTTATTTTTTTTTCTTCCTACCTTTTAAGAGGTCTAGACTGGGAGCAGTGTTGGTTTAGTTTGGTTTTGATTTAACAAATGTTGCAAAAAAAAAAAAAATGTTAACATTTAAATTAAAACCTTATCCAAAAAGAAGACTTCTTCAGTTAAGCAGAAGTGTAAAATGACCTATCCAAGTAGTCTAGGGGAGGCTCTCACAAAGTTTTGCACAAGTTCTTAAAGACTCCAAAAGCTGACCAAATATATGGTTAACTATTGTGTTGTCTAGTAATCTAGGAATCTTCAACATGAAACAGGGCAAAAAAGAGCATCCCAAAGCACTTTTGGTTGTGCTAGAAGGCAACCAGCCACAGTTAAATGCACAAACATGCTAGGAAAATAGTTATTATGCAGAGAAGTAATGATTTAACAATACTTCAACACAGGAATTTTCATCTAAGGAGTTAAAAGGAAAATAATTTTTATGAGAAGCTCATTCTATGTATGGCAAGTAATCCAAAAGTTCTTGATAGGTAAAGCTAATATAGCCTCTGATTTTCATTTATTCAACTAATGAGAATTGGAGTTGACCTTTCCTACTGATTGTAAGGGAATAGGGTAGCAGTGAAGGGCTAAGATGAACAGCCTAACTTTGATGTAGAAAAAAAGGGAGCCAATGAAAAAATAAGGGGGAAATGGTAGGCTGATTAGTGTTTGTAAGTTTTCTGAGTATCTGTAGAACAAAACTACATTTGTTACAATTAGAGTAATATTGCAAAAAAATCAAAGGGCAGGATGAAAACAGAGTAGGTGAGATTTTTCAGCAGTATGAAGAAGAAGGAAGAATTTTCCTTGTGTGTCTGTATTGCCTTCATAGTTTAATTGTGGATTAACTTAGTCTCTCTGGCTTTACACCAAAATTGTGTAGAAGTCCTCTTTCTCAGAAAAAGGAGGAGTTAAATTTGTACATCCTTATTAACTCTAAGTAGTTTGCTGCTGCCTCTCAGACCTGAAATTTTGCTGTTTCATTATTTCCAAAGTGTCATCTCAGCAATTTTGTCCACTGCCTGGCAGACTTTATGGTACCAGGGAGACCTCACTCTCCTCTGGCATGTGTGTAGAAGGGGGCTACCCTCAGTCCATTCAGAGCTAATGTGGGAAAATATAAGAGAAAGCATTAAAGGGTTTAGCTATGTAAGTAACTTGTTAGCAGGACTTTAGTTGTACTGTAGTGCCAGTCTAGCAAATAGTGGAGCACAGATCATCTAAATGTATGTGTATGGAACCTGGAAGACTTACAGTCAGATATAAGATTATGGAAGGAGGTTCAAGCTACAGGTGATGTTTAAGTTCAAGACCTCAGTGACTGAGTTTTCTAGTTTAGGTGGAAGGTGACAGTTCTGGAGGAAGGAGTTTAATCTGTGAAGGTGGTAACTGAATTTGAAGGTTAAGATGTGAAAGGAAAAGAAAGCAAACCACTGACAAAACCATGAGGAATCTGCATAGAAAACAAAGCAGAGAATGGGGAGAATCTACTTAGAAGAAATGCTGAAGGAGTGATAATTAGAAGTGGAATCTGATGAAAGATAAGATTTAATGAAGAAGTAAACTGTGTTTTACAGTATGGGAAGGGTCAGGGAGGTTGAAGATATAATATTGATTTAACTGTGTATCTAAGAAGTTACTACAAATTTTGTGAAGAACACTTTTCATTGTTAAAGACAATTTTTTTAAAGGATGAAATGAACAGGGGAAAACTTCAGGGAACAATTGTAAATAGTGCATTCTTTGAGCTTGACAATGACAAGAAGCACAATGATAGTCCTACAGATGCATGGGGCACAAATGTTCTGGTATAATTTTGTTTTTCTACACCTTACAATATTTGAACCTGGAATAAAAAAAAAAAAAAAAAGGCTGATAAAGTTACCCTGTTCAGTTTAGTTAGTAACATAATCTGTGTCTAAATGGAAGAACAGGCATAAGATTACCTAAAAATTAGGTATTCCATATGTACCTAATAAAAAGATTTCAATTTATATGCAGACAGTTGCCATAGAGAATTTTGGTAAATTATAATTTAAATAATTTTGAACTTTGCCTTATAGCAGAGAGAAACTAATTACTTTGAAGAATATATATCAGATATATGTATGTACAACAAGTTTTGTTCATTACTTCATTGTTTGTAAATTAAGTTAAAAAGAAAGCAACCATGGATAAGAATTTAACAGTTCAGCCTGGAAAATACATTTTAAATCCCCTTAAATACCTCAATTCTGTTTACAACTGTTAATAGCAATTCTTTAGTTAAGATGGGAAATTGATGGTTTTTTATTGTAAGGTATTTTCAAAGTTGTTTTGAAAAATAATAGCATTAAGAAAATAAAATCTGCCAAGAATTAATGTTATATATCTATTGTTTTCTGGTTATGTTTTGCATATTTATTTGTTGTGGTATGTACCTGTTGTTCTAACATTGTTTAATGCTCTGTGTGTAAAATTTATGTGCAATAGTATTAAACCTGAAGGAGGAAGCTTGTGTGCCAAAAGATAATTTGGTATATATGTTTTTGCAGGTACCTTTTGATACATAATCCTATAGAACAAGAGCGATATTCAGTGGTTTCAGTCAATGTGAATTCACCCAGAGTTAAATTATTATCTCCTTTGGGAAAACCTGTTACTGTCCAGATTAGTGCAATTTGGGATGGAGCAACTACAGTATCACATGAAGCTTATCAGGTATGCTACTTTAAGTAAAAAGCATTAAAGTTTTTTTTTTACAGATATCGTAGTTTCACAGTTGAAGAAAAAGGAAAGCATACTTCAAATATTGGTAATTCTGTTTTCTGCAGATAATGCCATTAATTCAGTCAATTTAAGAAAATAATATATTTAGCATTAATGTTTCTTAAACTGATCAGTTATTAAGCTTTTGTACTATGATGTGTTACATTTGAATGGTCAGTTTCAGTTGCATGGACAGAAATTACTAGGCATGTGTCTTCTTTCCTAACTTTCTAAAGTTGCTTTTTCCTTTAAGTGATAGTCTATACACACAGTCACACAGTCTGTATGTGCTTGAGCACTCCAGCTGGAAGGTTTTGTAAGTACAATAGCTTAAAGAGTTAAATTCTGATTTTTATTTTTTTTCATCTTCCAAATACAGAGGCTGGATAGTAATCCCCATTAATATGGTACTCAAGATAAAAAGATTACTTTGAGACCATCTCTTTTTTTTTGTTTTAAACAAAGTTTCTGAGAATTTTTGAATCATACATCATTATAGAGGATTGTCCTCAATGATCACACATCAGAAACTGTGTTTTGTTACATTCTTCATGGTATAATAGTACTGTATTACTGTAATAGTACTGTATTACTTTCAGGCTTACATTCTTAGTCTGGTTCTTTTTGACTTGGGAGCCAATTCAAACTTGTTTCAGGATAACATTCCTGCAAAGATACTTCAATAAATGTCTAATTATTGATAATTATTGTGGCTTAACCCTGGTAAACAGCTCAGGCCCACACAACCGCTCCCTCTCTTCCCCCCAGTGGGATCAGGGAGAGAATTGGAAGGCTGATGGTGAGAAAAGAGTGAGGAATAGGTAAAGCAAAAGCTCTGTGTGGGAGCAAAGTGAAAGAAGCAATTAATTCACTCCTTCCCATTGGCAGGCAGGTGTTCAGCCATCTCCAGGAGAGCTGGGCTCCATCACACTTAATATTTACTTGGAAAGACAAAAGCCATCACTCTGAATGTCCCCCTCTTCCTTCTTCCCCCAGCTTTACATGCTGAGCATGACATCATCTGGTATGGAATATCCAGGTGGTCAGTTGGGGTCAGTCAGCCGTCCCGGCTGTGTCCCCTCCCAGCTTCTTGTGCACCCCCAGCCTGTTGGTTGGCAGAGCAACATGAGTAGCAGAGAAGGCCTTGTCTGTGAAAGGACTGGTCAGCGATAACCTGTGCTATTAATGTGGTTGATATCAAAACATAGCACCATATAAGCTACTATGAAGAAATTTGACTACCCTAGCCAAAATGAGAATGACAATTTTAGCATAGCCTGTAGTGACAGGAAAAGGGGTAATGGTTTTAAACTAAAAGAGTGTAGATTTAGACTAGATGTAAGGAAGAAATTTTCTACAGTGAGTGTAGTGAAACACGGGAACAGATTGCCCAGAGCAGTGGTAGAAGCCCCATCTCTGGAAACGTTAAAGGTCAGGTTGGATGGGTCCTTGAGCCACCTGATCTACTTGAAGATGTCCCTGCTCACTGCAGCTGGGCTGGACTACCTGACCTTTAAAGGTCCTGTCCAGCCCAAACCATTCTATGATTGTTAATTGCCTGAAGGAGAGGAAGAAATAAAGTTATATTTCTGTATCTCAAATTCTAAGCAAATTGCTTTGGAGATCTACGTTGTGTGTTACTCTTCTGTGCAGATTACTTTATAGCTCCTAAATAACCAGATAAATTACTGAAAATGTGACAGTTGCCTTATATTTTGTTGTTTAATTTTGTGGATTTTAAAATGCAGCTTAAGTGATAAGTAGGTTCTGTGAGCATTTGATACACTACACATGCATCTTTAATACACAGCAAAAATGCTCAGAACTGCATATCACAGCTAACATTCTTTTTTAACAAGATTCAAAATCATTATTGCATTAATATAACAGCGATTTTGATGCTAAACAAATCAGCAATGAAGGCATTTTTGTTTGCTAATTCTTCTTAACATGCTTCAGGTATTAGTTTTGGAATGTAATTTTTAATTTCATATTCATTTATGGAATATGTAAAAAATTCAACCATGCTAAAATTATTGAAGCAAAATAAGTTACTCAAAACATAAATTTAGTATAAGAAGTTGATACTTTGATGTTTTTAAGAATGGCTTCTTCTTTGCTTCCAACAGATCTCTTTTGTGGCCCATCTACCGCCTCTGGGGATTGGAGTTTACCAGCTTTTGGAGGTTCAGAGTTCAGAAGCGGTTTCAACAGACTATAATATATACATGAGGAATAGTAGGCAGGAGAAGCCAGACAGACTTTTCAACATAAAAGAAATGCAGAATTCTGTGGATAATATAATCTTAGAAAATTCTTACATGAAACTGTGGTTTTCTGGAATGTCTGGATTACTGGAGGTGTGTCGCATGATATTTCAAAACACTTTTTTAAGAACTTCTGTTCTTATTTATGGAAACCTAAATGTGTCCACTATTTTAAACATGAATCTCTGTTCTTAGAAAATAAATACCAAAGAAGATGGTAAAAATCATCAAATGAAGGTGGAGTTTGCTTGGTATGGAACTACAAGTAACCGGGATAAAAGTGGAGCTTATCTCTTCTTACCAGATGGTGATGCCAAGGTAAATCTGTTTGTGGAGAGGTTATAATTTTGAGGTAACTTGAAGTATTTTGCAAATACAGATTGGAAGACCTAGTTTTCCCCAACAGTGAAATACAGCTGTGTGACTAGAAATAATGACATCAGTTATTGAAATGATTAACAGAATTTCATATTTCATAACCTTATATTTCGGTAAAAACACAGCATTAATTTGAAGGTGTAAAAATAAACACCAAAAAACTTAAATAAGATTCCATCCTTGCAAGCTATCCAGCGAGATGTGACTGTTCACTGTCAATAAAATAAGTTCACTTTTGCTTCCTGTGGTGAGAATGTATAGGACATACTGATTCATTTCTGCATTTCTTCACTTTTCTGATTCTCAGGATTTTGTTATTGTTAATGAGGAGCTACCGGTTCAGAGTGTAGTACTCTTTTAGCTGATATTAGCATATGTAGTTTAATACAGTAATTAAGATACTGAGTCATAATTGATGAATGTAAAGATGGAGTAGCAAGCAACTGTTCTCATTTAGTTGTCTGAAGTTATCAGTATTTATATCTGTGTAATTATTGGAGGGCAACAGCATACTCCTATTAATTTTCAAATTGGAAATTCAGAAATGATAATGTTCTTACAGTGATTTATTTACCATATGGAATCTACTGTAGCATGTTTGGAACTGGAAGGGTTATATTTCAGAAAGCAAATGGGAAATCCCAGAAAGCAAATCCCACTTTTAAGAAGATAGATAGTTTGCAGCATATTTCTTCTGCCCAGTTTCTCCTGTGGAAACTTAAGTTGCATGCATAAGGCAAACTGGGATTTCTCTGTTTACCACTTCAGGAAATATGCAAGGGTAATTTTGGTTTGGTTTGGTTTGTTATATGTGTAAATCAGTCTGAAGTGGACAGAACAGTTTCCTTTCCTTTTAGCAATCTCTCCTAGAAGCACATGTTTTGAGGTCTGTGAGTTGGCAGTTTTAAACCATTTAGTATACTTGGTCACATAATTGTTTGCATCAGTTTTATTCCACAGGGTTCACTTCTCCTTTATTTTTAAATGTCAGTGTTTTTGATCTCTGACTCCCTGAACAATATCACCTAGGTTTTTTAATTTTTACCTTTCATCAGCAGCATGGTCACACTTCAACTAAATTTGCTTTAGATGCTATTTCATCTTTTTCTTATAAAAATAATAATCACTATATCTAACAGTTAGATAATTTTAACTACACTTTTGAATTATTTGTTTTATAAAAATAATCTGGACAAATCTAGATAGCAAAATGCTATGGTTTGCACAGAAAATGTCTGTCACATGCCTGCAAGCATAGTCAGAAAATAAGGTACATACTGAACTTTATGAAAAATGATATTAAAATACATTTTTAGTTCACATTAAAAAGGGTGGTGTGTTCAGCTTTTGTAACTTTTTATACAGTAAAAATTATATCATGATACTTCTAAAAATTTTGTTTCATTAATATACCATAAAGCTCATTTCGCTTGCATTTTAATAACATTAATTGGGTTGTCCCACTGGAAATAACATTGTAATTCTATAGTAGTTTCTAAACCAGCCTGAACTAATGATTTCTGCCTTAAAAGAAGTGGCATCCGTTCAGGGTTCTTGGTGTGAGGTGGATTGCCTAACATTTTCCAAGTCCTTTTGTGGAGTGGCAATAGGATAGATTACAGGCAGTTTTCTTGGTTTTCAGCTAGGTGGTTTTTTTTCTATCTCCGTCACACTATGCATTACTGCAAAATTTGCAAAGAATAATTGCATTTGATGTTGAGTCATTTTCCTCTGGTATGAGTACGGTTATGTTTTCTTTGCCTTTGTTAACTACTTGTTTTGTCTCCCGATAAGTCTTTTGATTCCTTTCTTTTCAGATCTGCAATACTCAGAATTATCTTCATCTAGTTTAATTGTTGATCTTAGTATAGTACTTATATAGTCTTTTTGGTCTTGGGTTCTTCTGCCAGTTTAATTTTGGAAACTTTGTGCTGTAACATCCTAGCTTTGCAGGCCGTGACTTGAAGCCATGTCAGTTTAAAATACTCAACACATACAGTGCAGCTCTAGTTATCAGTAGACTGTTATAAGTGGATGTCATGTTTTCACAAGATGATGGTCTATGTACTGGAATGTACACAGATCTGAATCTTGCAAGAGGTTTCTTGGGTTAATCGTCTTTATGGCTGACCTAAAACCAGCCTGGAATATTGCAAAGAGTGCATTCTTGCTAAGAAGTGGTAAGCTTCTAATACCAACAGTAATTTGGACATCAGCAGAGACCTGGATTAATGACAGTGATTTACACAGTGTTAAATAGAAGGTGCACTGAACACTGTAACTCTTTGTCACTGCTCTGGAAAGAATAGCTGGATATAAGGCTCTATGACACCGTGGCAAACATTGCCATGGTGCAGCTAGACAGCCCTCAGTAAGAGCAGTCTCTGGGGTTGTGGTATATGGTCTTGACTATGGATGATTCTGTCCCTACTGTCTCTGAAGTGTCAAGGTAGTTCAGTGGCAGCCTCAGGTCAGGACACTGATGCAAAGTCCAGAACAATGACACAGAGCAGAGGCTCCATGCTGCAGCTCTAGAGATAAGGCAGTGCTCCTAGCATGTTTTTGTATATTCTGCAAAATAGAGCAAAAGGCAATGTGCCAGAAAAAAAAAGGCAAAAAAAACCCAGGCAGTATGTTAATTTTTTAAAACGTCAGTGCTGCTTAACTGATTGACAATGTTATTAAGGTTTGGAAGGAAAGGACTTCCTTGGAACTCACAACAAATATAAATGAAAGCATCCTTCCTGTGAAGGGAGAACATGTTTGTATCTCTTGTGATTTTGTGAAAGGTCACCAACTCTGTAAATCTGATAGATCTGGGAGGGAAAAAAATCAATATTGAGTAAATTTTGAAACAGGTAAATGTCTGTATTTTCTTCTATGTATTCAAGACAAGTCAATATGTGAAGACCTACAGTGTTGGGTTGGGGCGGCGGGGGGGA